CGCTTGCTTGCCCCTCTTTTGTGTCACTTGTTGCGCTGGTGAGAAGGCGCCCTCATCAATTCAAAGCTCTCAAACGTCCACAATCACACTACAATAGCTACGAACATCGCCGCTTCTATCTGCGACCAGCCACCCCGTGATGACCTGAACTTTCGGAAACAATTTCATTACCCCTCGACATCGTCACTGGTCCTGCTCCCCCTCGGTTGACGAGTCGAAGAGTTGACCTTCCCCGCAATGACGGTCGTCAAGAACCCAGAAGCGGGCGCGAGCTCGTCTGCCCCTCCCCCGCCACCAAGATGGCCCAGCGATTTGAACCTCAACAGGACGGACAGCGCTGAGGTTCCCGACGCCCTCGTCTCTGACGGATTCAGCTTGCCTTCACTGGAGGCCGAGACCGAGGCTCCGCCGGCCTACGGAGACCTTCCTGATCAGCTGCAGTTCAACCAGGCGGGCTTCGAAGCCGGCGCCAATGTAACGGGTAACGTTCAACTCCTACCACCAACGCCGCTCACATCACGAGATTCGCTGACAAGTGCTACTAGGAGACGGCCGAGTCAACATTAACATCAACCAGAGCGGCAATCGCCTGGCCGAGATCCTCGCCCCGACGCTACGAAACCAGCTTCTCGCCGACAAGCGACCCCAGGCACCCCTGCCTCCAGCCTACATCCCCCCGAGCCTTGGAGGCCAGCCGGGCCAGACCCCTCCCCCGCAGCTCAACGTCGTTATACAGATTGTCGGCTCACGAGGCGACGTCCAGCCCTTTGTCGCCCTCGGCAAGGTGCTGAAAGATACCTACGGCCACCGCGTGCGAATAGCCACGCACGCGACGTTCCAAAAGTTTGTCGAGGAGAATGGGCTCGAGTTCTTCTGCATCGGTGGCGACCCCGCCGAGCTCATGGCCTTCATGGTCAAAAACCCCGGTCTGATGCCCGGCTTCGACACACTCAAGAGCGGAGAGGTTAGCAAGCGCCGCAGGGGAATCCAGGATATTCTGCTCGGGTGCTGGCGCTCGTGTATCGAGGCGGGCAACGGGTTGGGTCCGCCACCAAAACCGCATGCCAAGGATCAGCCGCTGGACGAGCACTATGGAATACCTGGGGACCCGACGCAGAAGCCCTTCGTAGCTGATGCCATTATTGCGAACCCGCCGAGTTTTGCGCATATTCACATAGCGGAGAAGATGGGTATTCCGTTGCACCTAATGTTCACTATGCCGTGGACGCCTACGCGCGCTTTTCCTCACCCGCTGGCCAATATTCAGTCGACAAACACCGACACGGTCATGACCAACTATGTTTCTTACGCGTTGGTTGAAATGATGACATGGCAGGGCCTCGGCGACGTCATCAATAGGTTCCGAGACAAAGCGCTGGATCTGGAGCCCATGTCACTGATTTGGGCCCCGGGTGTATTGACGAGATTAAGAATCCCCTATACGTATTGCTGGTCTCCGGCACTGATTCCCAAGCCGAACGACTGGGGTCGTGAGATCGATATTTCAGGATTCTACTTCTTGAACCTGGCCTCGGCGTTTACTCCAGAACCTGATCTAGCTGCGTTCTTGGCTGCAGGGCCCCCTCCCGTCTACATTGGATTTGGCTCTATCGTGGTTGATGACCCGAATGCCTTGACCAGGATGATCTTTGATGCTGTTCATCAGACAGGCGTACGCGCGCTGGTCTCCAAGGGCTGGGGCGGCCTAGGCGCGGAAGATGTTGGACTTCCAGAAGGGGTCTTCATGCTGGGCAATGTACCCCACGACTGGTTGTTCAAGCATGTGTCGGCAGTCTGCCATCATGGTGGCGCAGGTACTACTGCCGCAGGTATTCAGGCAGGCAAGCCCACCATCATTGTGCCGTTCTTTGGTGACCAGCCATTCTGGGGTGCCATGGTCTCGAGGGCGGGTGCTGGTCCAGATCCCATTCCTTACAAGGAGCTCACGGGAGATAAGCTCGCGGAGGCCATCAAGTTTGCCGTCAAGCCCGAAACTCAGGCTAGGGCCCAGGAGCTTGGTCACAAGATTCGCGAGGAGAAGGGTACTGATTTGGGTGGTAAGAGCTTCCACGACCATTTGGACACCGACGAACTCAGGTGCTCTATTGAGCCTAGTCGGGCGGCCGCTTGGCGTGTAAGGAGGACGAAGGTCCGTCTGAGCCCCATGGCTGCCGCGGTGTTGGTAGAAAGGGGCCTGATCAAGTATTCTGATCTCAAGCTGTGAGTCCTCGCGCCCCTTTAGTCACTCCACACAAAGTGATAACTAACATTTCACAGCTATCGGCCCAAGGAGTATATCACGGAGGGCCAGCCGTGGGATCCTATCTCCGCGGTCTCAACGTCGCTCGTCGCAGATATCAGCAGTATTGGTATGGCTGTGGCCGATTTTCCCAGAGAGCTGTTCAAGAGTCGTAGCAAAGGAGAAAAGACACCAGAGACTTCTACGCCTTCCCTCGCGGAAGCCTCCTCGAGCAAGCAGTCTCTTCATCAGAGCTCAAGCAAGCAATCTCTACATCAGATTGATAAGGCATCAATTGCGGCTCCAAGCACGCATGCATCGGAGTCTTCGACACAGCTAGGCCTCATGGAAATGGAGGGCTCTACCCCGACGCTGCCGCAATCTCCACAGCCAGACACACTGTCGTTAACCCAGTCGCAGACGGCTTCCACTGCTCCTTCCATGGTCTTCAGCCCTCCCGATGGTGCGTCGATTGCTCGTAGCGAAACTACTCCATCAGAACATGCATCAACGACTCAATCTGTAAGACCATCCAACAGTCCGGCGAAGAGGTCGTTCAAAGAATCGATGCCTGCAAACGTGGGTGTCGATGCTGCCGTAGCAGCTGGAACCAGCGTTAGTCGCATCGTTACTACCGGTGTGAAGACACCGATGAACGTGTGCCTCGGCTTGGCAAGAGGTTTCCGGAATGCCCCTCGATTGTACAACGATGACACTGTCCGGCCGCCCGAGAAGGTGACGGACTTGGCAAGCGGTATCAGAATAGCTGCTAAGGAATTCGGCTACGGCATGTTTGATGGCATCGGTGGACTCGTCACTCAGCCGCTCAAGGGTGCTGAGAAGGAAGGTGGGATAGGTCTCATCAAAGGCTTCGGCAAGGGCATCGGAGGTTTGATTCTCAAGCCCGCATCTGGTGAGTTGAATCCGTGCCATCCCCCGTGCTCAATTCCTTGCTATACTAGGAATTACTGTTGCTAATTGATACAGCTGTATGGTCCGTCCCTGCGTACACCATGCAAGGTGTTCATGCAACTCTACGGAACGCCTTTTCGAGCAGTGTACAGAACTACATCATTGCGTCTCGCATGAAGCAGGGACAAATGGACATGGAAAGCGCCGGCGCCGCGGAGCGCGAAGACGTCGTTATGCGTTGGAACAACGTCAAATTTGACCTCAAGAACTTCCAGGCCATGAAGTTGAAGGAACAGCGAGAGAAGCAGAGGGCCGAAGGAGAAGGACCCTACGGACAGCCCGAGAAGAGTCTCACGGCCCCGGTCACGGGCTGGGCCCACACGAGAAAACTGTCCTTTGAGGAAAGGAAACAGCTTCATGCTCGAAAGGAAGCGTGGAAGAAGGGTCATGTCGAGGCCGTTGTCCCTGCCTCGAGGTCGGATCTGTCGCTTTCAGAGCCTAGCTCAATGAGTGCCGCCGAGGACGAAGAATTTGAGCGCGCTATCCGCGTATCCGTCGCCGAAACGTCGCGCGGCAACGCTGAAGAAGACGCTGCGGTCGAGCAGGCTATCCGCGCAAGTGTCAATCACTTCCGCAGTTCCGGAGTTCCTGACATACGGGCCGAGAAGGCCGCGCCCCTCGACAGAGACGCCAAGAACCAGGACCAGGACCCGTTCACGAGCGCCGAGCTGGAGATCACGGACGAGGAGTACCAGCGGCTCATCGAGGAGGCCATCAACCAGAGCATGTCCCTCAAAGCCGCGGGAGTACAGCCGGGCGAGGGATCGCACGGCGACGACGAAGAGTTCGAGCGCGCCCTCGAGCAGTCCCGGATTGCCCAGCAGCAACCCCCCGCACACGGGGACGACGAGGAGCTGCAGCGGATCCTGGAGGAGTCTAAGAGGCAGCACGCGGAGGGAAACACAAACGAGGAGGAAGAGTTACGGAAAGCAATCGAAGCGTCAGAAGCCGCGCACCGAGAGCAGCAGAATAGGGACGCCGCGGCGCGGACGGAGGAGGATGTCGTGATGGAGTACGTTAAGAAGCAGAGCCTTGCCGAGGAGGAGTATCGACGGAATGCGTCAAAGGGTAAGGGACGCGATGTATCGGCGGATGCTGATGAGGAGGAGGATGAGGAGCTGAGGAGGGCGATGGAGGAGAGTTTGAAGATGAGTGGCCGGCCAGGAGGGTCGAGCTCTTACCAGTGATTCTTTGAGGTTTCCTGCTTCTCTATTTTCTTTTCCTTTGCAATAATGGGGTTTGAGGAGATAGATAGATGGCACAGCACATCCGAGATACCATTTTAGTTTTCCCGAGTCGCAATCCGATTCTCATGCTCTCTAATACTACGTATCCAACATGGAGAAGCGAAGCGGGGCGGTTCTCGAACCCGGGACATGGCCTAATCAGGAAACCGAGGTCCTCAACGATACGGCATGATTGGTTGTGTGAGTGACCGACAAGGCACGGCCATAATGAGATGAAGACAAGAGAACATCGGATCACATTCCCTGGATGTCACTTGGTTAAAAAAAAAAAAAAAGTATAACAACTAGTGGGTGTATTGGTTTCTCGAGTCAGTCTCCACCCATAGAGCTGGCTGATGATATGTAGTTTCCCTATGGTACAATTCTCTACACAAACTTGCTAGGCAAGTATGATTACTGTCCACTTCCTGTCGTCTACTTTCGTTCCTTATTTTTCTTCCGGCTCAGTAGGAGCTCAATCGCAAAAAGAGCAAGTGTATAGCCCGATCGTCGTATTATCCTTCTCAAATTTGCATTACTGCGTGTTCCTTTTGCCCTTAGTTTCAGTGCAATTTCTCCTTCAAATAGATCACTGCTGCATATCCTGCGCAACAGTTTGTCGTCATTCCGTGAGCGCACCATGGACACTTCACCGTCGTAGAGATGAGTCCGCTGACTCCCAGCTTCCGGTCCTCCACCATGCTATCGGGCTTTGCCATACATTCGTAGACTTTGCTCGGCATGTCGTGCAAGAACTTGCAACTGCAGCATTCCACAAGCATCTTGGCAACGGGCTCGGGGATGCCGTTGGGAGGTACAATGGATGCACGTGAGACGCGACTGGATCGCGGTGGCGGCATTGATTTGCGGGCTTCCTCGAGATAATGTGAGGGATTCGAAGGCCCCTTGGTGGACACAATCGACTTCCTGGAAGCTACATCCGCAGGGAATGAAGACTGCGAGGCTGCTTTGGCGTGTAAATTATTCACAGAGCCACGCTTTGATGAGCGGGGCGGTGGTGGCGGAACAAGAGACCGGGGCACGAGAGGTTGATGCTTGAGCTTCGGAAGGAAACTAGTGTCAAGTGCGAGGTCAGGACTCGAGCGGCTCTTAGTCAAGCTCGGGTGACGCTGGACGACGCTATGAAGTTCCTCTTGTACCGGTTCAATGTTGGTGCTGCTAATTTCCTGAACGTGCCCATTCTTCCCATAATCGTATGGGCTCGTCAAAGAAGCGGATGTCAGTGGGGTTGCCATCGCGGATGTCTTCGAACTGTCGGTGTGTATTGGAGTGGGATAGCTCTGCGACGAGTCGCTGTCCTCGGCATCAGCAACGCTAGCCTTCCTACCAAACTTCTCCGTCACCAAGGCTTCAAGCTCGTTGAGATGAGCCTCATGATTTTGGACCGGAATTTGAGGGGGCAGGCTGATCCGTTGATTCGTAGCAATTGGAGAGGCTGTCTGCATCGCTGCCTTGTGAGAAAGCCTGTATGACCGAGTGTCATTTGTAACAACCACTGTCTCGTTGTCGACCCGACCGAGTTCTCCGTCCAAAGGCGGCAACCCCTTTTCGGATTGCGGCCTTGAAGAATTAGGAGTGGTGGCGGGTGACGGAGAAGGCAAGGACTCGTCGCATGAAGACATCGAAGATCTGTGTGTCGGGCGTGCTGATGAGTCTCTCGAAGTCGACTCAGTAGACTCGGCAAACGGACGAGGCGGGGCTGTGAAAGGGGATGGCTCGTCGGTTGAGTACCTAGAGCTTGACGTTGAGTCGGGTGTCATGGTAGTGTCGCGCGCCGCTCTGGTAAAATAATTGGAGACAGGCGGCTTGGATGATCCCGGAGTCGACACTTTCTGGAATGCGGCTTTGGCTGCATCCTTGAAGCTTCTGATGGCTGCTCCGGGGGTAGCCGGATGCCTCTCACGCGATGCCGATCTTTCGGGAGGCAAAGGTATCTCTCTAGACATCATTCTAGACATGGGTGGTCCCTGAGACGTGGACCGGTCGAATGACTGCTGTCCCGGGCTGCCTGCTGGCGGTGTGTAAGGAAGTCGGAATGTGAGCGTGAAATCTTCAGCCGAGGCTGATTGGTCTTTGTAGCCGCCGAGGCTAGAGAGCGATCCGTTACGTGGAGGGAAGTTGGAGCCCATTGGGCTGCTCTCTGAAGAAGAGGAGTATGCTCGAGACTGTAGTGGGCGATTGGAGGCCGGAGGATAGTGAGATTTGGCAGAGACGCGAACTTCGTCTCTGTAGCCGTTCATAGATCTTTCTCTGCTTTGTTGGCGAGACTGGTGAACGTAACTCTCTCTTCTTCGTCCTCGCTCTTGCTCAACCACAACCTCGCTAAGTCCGTTATGAATCTCCAACTCATCGTCGTTGGCGGGCACTTGCGATTGCTTCGTGCCGTTCATCCATTGGTGAAAATTGCTCACATCAGGTACAGGCGGTGCTGTGGGCGAGACTAAAGGCTGAGACCAAGCAGAGGTGTTGATAGAAGCGGATCGTGGGGTCTTGGGCCCGTATGAGTCTTCGTCGTACTCGTCAGGTCGCTCTCCTTGCGGGTCGAATGAGAAAGAACGCGGCAACGCTGAAGGTGTCGTTGCTGGCGGGGTTACCCTAACTTCAGGTCCAAATGAGTGAGATCTCTGACCGGTCAGGAAAGAAGGCGGATTAGGTTTTCTGAAGGGAATGCCGGCGTCATTCTGTCTTTTCTGCTCCAGCTTCAAGCCGCCAATGAAGCCTTGGTCATCGTTGTTGTGAGACTGATTATGGGTCTTGTGGCCTGTCAAAGCAGCTTTTAGCTGCATGGCTACCGAGTCTGACCGTTGTCTGGCATGCTGAGGACGGATTGAAGGTGATGGCTCATAGAATGCCTGGGCGCTGGCTGACCGAAGATGCTCATTGACGAACACGGTTGGGCTAGAGATTGACCTCGATGCATTTGGAGGTCTTGGCGGGGAAGCTTTGGTGTTCGGTCCAGCTTTGCTGAGCTTAGCTGCCAACTTCTTCTTCACAGATTTGGCCTCCTTCTCGGCTTGCTTCTCGGCCTGTTCCTTTTCCTTCTTGCGCATCTTGGCTTCGATTCTCTTTTCCTTCTTCTTGTTCTGACCAAAAGATTCCCAGCTCGGTGAGTGGCAAATCGAGGAGGCGTCGTCGGCAGTCGGTTCGTCGACCATATCGACGTCGAGGAAGGTCACTGTCTTGTGCTTGTGCTCCACCGATTCCTTGCGCTCCGACCCGCGATCGATTTCAGACTTGACGTTCGAGGGCGGCGGAACGGAAATGGAAAGAGAAGGCAACGCTGTTGCTCGGCGGACTGCTTTCATAGCAGAAGGTGGTAGCTCCGGTTTCTGTGTGGGAAGTTGAGCTGATGACTCCCTCCGGCGAGACTGGAGAGGAGCTATAGGCTTCACAGGCGGAGCGGGATGAACTGTAGGAAAAGGTTTCAGTTTCGGAGGTGACTGGGCAGGTCGGCCATGATTAAGCTGTTGCTGAAGAACCTGCTGAAACGCCAGGTGAGAGGGATGGGTCGCCGCAGGCATGGACTGATGCCCCTGAAGACGCTCGAGCTACAAGTTGAAGCGTGTTAGTGGGTGGGAGCTAACATAGCCAAATTGGGTGTGGATGCGACGTGGTAGGAGGCGTCAGGTTAGGGTGGGATCGGCCTACCTTCCGAATGTGTTCCAGCTCCAACATCTTTTGAAGGCTGTCAGACCGGCCGCGTTGCGGTTTGGTCGACTCGCGGTGAGCCCCCGTTGCAGTCATTCTTGGGTATCTTGTCGTGCTTGTCTCGAGGCGTATTTGGAGGTGGATTATCGTAAGTGGAGCAGTGGCGTCGAAAGTGGGAGAGATTAGCCAGCTAGTTTGTGTGGCAGATGGTGAAGAGAAGATGAGGCGTTGCTAATGGAGGCGTTTCTGCGTTGTCATTTCTTCGTGATGCTGATATGGCGTTTGCTAATAGTGACAGACTAAAAGGTGATGCAATAAACAATTTGTCGAAGTGTAATTGCGGCCGAAAACCCCCAGGGCGTGGCGGTGAATTGACGTTGTAGAGACGTCGTCGCACAATTTGAGGTGTGGCCCAAAAAAAAGACGGTGAAAGGTGGGCGCGTATCCGTAAAAGTCGAGACGGAAGAATCAACAGACGGTCGAATTGGGTATGGGAGAGGCTAAGGCCAACGAGAGAAAGTGCCACAAAGTAACGTTGTCGTCGTGAATCCAAGGAAAGTCGGAAATTTCGAATTGTCTAGCGAGGGGCAGTTACAGTTACGAAAAGGGAATTCTGGAGGAAAGAGCAGGGTAGGGTTGATATTTGGGAAGGAGCCGGGGTTCGCTGAGACTAAGAGGGGTTCTCGAATGCGGGATGCTGGTCCTGATGCTGATGCTGGTAAGAGACGGGAAAAAGGAATACCTAGAAGGAACTGCAGATCGGGATGAGCTGGATCCTAGTCATCGGAGGCACCTTATGCAGACTGCAGACCTGGAGCTTGTTTACAACACCGCAAGCACCTTGACCTATCTTAGAGGGCAAGGCCAACAAGATGGCAACGACACCACAGACGTTTAGCAACCACCTTGGACCCTTGAGTGAAGTCAAATCATGGTCAGATTCTATCAGGTCTTGCCTGCACAACAACCGGGAAGAGCCATGGCCATTGAGCGGGACACGGACAGGCGTAATGAGATGGCTACCATGGGGATGCCTTCTCAATGGGCAATTGGTGTGAGCGCGAGGTAGCCAACGCGCATATTAGCTAAGGTAAGCCTCTCTCATCCGACATCGTGCAGACTACACCAGGCGGCTTACCCCATAGAGGTCAGGGCAACGCGAGATGGGATGGTGATCAGCCCTTTACCGTCCCAGAGCACGTCTGAGTTGAGGTTCGGGAGCGAGAACAGGTGCAGCAGGGCAGAGGTCCCGGCACACATTCAGCTGGATAGTGCCTAGAGAAGCTGCATGATGTAGGCAAAAACCAGTACTCATGAAAAAGATTAAGGTAGGTAAGCAAGTAAGGTACCCAAGAGACATGATGCGCCAATAACTTGGCAACTAGGTATCGGCAGGACCTGCTCAGCGCACATTGTTGCTTGAGGACGGGAACGGAACCTGTAGCAGGCCCTGTAGCAGGCCCTTCAGCAGCAGGCAGCTAGAACAATTTACCTTGCCGTGTCATGTTATGATGGTCATATTGCTTGTTACAAAGGAGAGCCATCGGGGTGTTGCATGTCATCTATCCGTTGGCGGGTGGTGTTACACAGCGGAGCAGTGGTTGTGGCGGCGAGAGTAAGAGACTTATCCAATAGCGAGCCGGAGAAGGTGTCTTCGATTGCCCCTTCACCGCAGCAACATGGTTGAATGGCTGGTTATCATGCCGCTTGCCATGTGAGGCCTTGTTGAGAGGTGGTGTTCGGGAGGGTTCCCTTTCCTCTACTCCGTAGACACATGGGAATTTTGAGTTGCGACACTCGATACGAGCTTTTGAGGTGCGTTGGACGGTTGGAGGAGCTCCAGCTGGACCGGGGACCGCTGCAGACGCCAGTGACGCCACCCCTTGGTATCCACTGTTAGCGAACACCGGCGATTTTATCCTGGCGATCAGCACCGGGACATGGCTAGCTTAACACCCACCGGCTATTTTGAGAAGGAGCAAGCGGGGGGCTCTGCTCTTCCCCCTGGCTGTTGAACTTCGTTTGCAGTAAGAAAGAAGCAAGCAGGAACGCTGGTGTTCATTGTTTCCCCCACACATTACCTTAGTGATCACACAATCGTGTGAGCGTTTTCCCTCCGTGCCTTCCATTCCTGAGAAACAAGGCAGTCAGGGCATCCCCGGCCGTTGGCGTAGCGTCCTTTGTGGCTTCTGCCCGCAACCCACCTCGTCCCGTCGCCAAAAGCCTGACCTTATTCCCATTCCCTCGCCTCACCTGAACTTGAAGCTGTGGATGACCATGTATGTGGACCCAACCAGACCGACGACATCTTGGCGATTGTTCTGCCCGTTAAACTTCAATCACAGACCTTTTCGAACATCAGTCCCTCGTCCGACCTATCTCTGGTCATCAAAGTTTATGATTTCTGCTATAGACCCAAGACCAGCTCGTCGGCACAAACCATCACGCACAATTCAGTGGTCACTGACGGCACAACTCGTATTTTGCACCATCCCTTCAACTGACGCCTGCATATTGCCCACTCATAAACACTCCCACACCACCACCACCACCACCACCGCTGACCCCGACCTGCATGCCTTGATCGATGGGCTCCCTGTCTTCCATTCTTGGCTCGCCTCAAAGCCCTCACACAGCGAATTCGTCCGAAAAGAAGGTGCCGGCACGCAAGCGAGAAACGAACCAAAAGAGACAAAAATAGTCGAGGAGACGTTGTGGCATACGCCCACGCCAGAATGACACACAAGGCTAGCCTGCCCTCAACTGCCTGCGTCTACACTACCGTCCACGTTATCCATAGCCGGACGCGGTGGTCAAACAACAATTCAATCTTGTGGATTTCATAATCCTGGTCCCCCTCGTCGCGGCACCATCGCTCTCCACACGTCACCGTACCGGGCAACCCCTGGCTCAATCGATCAAAATTGCTGTTCATCGGCGTCCCTGGAGCTAGTCCACTTCGGCAAGGGAGTCCGAGCCTCGCCTTATACCTCAAACCAAAGCTACCCTCTTCTCACGACAAAGCGCAGAGCGCACAGGCTTTGATTATGAGCAAGGTCCAGGACCTTCTTGCTGAAGCCGAAAGGCACCCTACCAGCCCGTCTTTGGATCGACAATGGCTTGGCCGTCCGACCGCCCGGATAGCCTGCAGAGCTGTTGCCCAGTAATTGCTGATTTTGGAATCACGTTTCTGAATTGAGCGACCATACGCAACTTCTCCACGCAAATATGCAAGCGACTTGCAACAAGAAATCGCTTGTATCTTGATTAGCAGAGGCCCGCAGGCTGTGTCCTGTCTGGCGAACCTACTACCCTACTTATACAGTGACACCGCAAGTGCTCAAAGCATCCCAACACCATGGATGCGGTTACGCCTCGTAAACGCCAATGTCCAAAATCGCTACCCAAATAAACCAACCCATGAAGAACATGCAGGTCTACAAAGCACATCGCGATGCTAATCGAGCCTACCTACGCTGCATTCCGGCTCGTCGTCCGCTCGTTCCGTTGCATTTGCTCCTCCACGGACTCAGGGTCCGGGCTCACGTGCATCCAAACCTCATTGCCCTTCTCCCAGCTGATCAGTCCCGAAGGCATGCCCGATCCATCGCCTTTCCCCATCAAGACCCGGTTCTTGTGCCGAAACCATCTCTTGATCCGCAGAGTTGCTTCGTTGTCCACCTTGAGGCGAACTGCGATCCATTGGTCGTCCGGTCGGTGATCGTGCGTCACCACAGCAAGTGGTTCTGTTGGTGGCTCTGTTGTTTTCAAAATTTCCTCGTCTACCCAGGTGTTGTACTTTGTCTGCTCCGGAGGTAGCGTGATTTTCAAAAACTCGAGCGACGGTGATATCGTCAGGTAGATGGCTCGCAGAGGATTCACCAACGTCTTCATGAACAGATCTGTCCAAGTCGAGTACAGAACTGCAAAGTCTGTCTGGGAGAGATGGGTTGACCCCCGGATCGTCATCATCCAGGTGAGCGCGTTCTCGCCCCTGGCCTCGTTGCAGACGTCGACAAGTCTGTCAAAGTTTTCTTGCCAGTGCATAAAGGCTTCCGATCCGATCGACAACAACGGTTTCTTAACCCGGTGACTGGGGTTCTCTCCTGCGCGTGGCGTCGCCGGGCCCCAAGCGTCAAGAATGATGCCTTGACCAACCCAGCTAAGCGACTCGGTCCGCAAAGCTTCGACCGTCGTTGCTCCGCCAAACGAGTGACCCATTATCGTCACATTGTCGAGAAACATCCTATCTTGCCAGTCATCCCATACGATGCCTGTAAGCCCTTTGGAGCTCGACGCCACATTGCCCTTCTTTCTCAGGTTCATGGCTGCAACTTCGTGCCCGCGACCACTGTCGATATATCCAAGGATGCGGAACGCCTCCTCGATTTCCGTCATTCTCATTTCAATCTGCGCAGCGCGTAGCTGCATATCAACGCCCTGTTCGTTGTTCGGTGCCGTGTCCTGCTCGTTATTCTTGGGGAAAAGATAGTCCACGCAGTAGTGCTGCCCAGAGTCTTTTCCGTTCTTCTTGTTCTTGATTTTTTTGGCATTGACCGTCTCCAAGGAAGATTCGCTATCGGACACCTCCCGATGTTCCGGGAGGTTCACATAGGTCCTCGCACCGCTCCCATCCCTATGCTCGATTGCCACAACAATGAAGCCGTAACTCGCCAACTCTCCACATATGGAGCTGTAGCTCATCCTCGAGCCGCCCAGGCCGTGGCTGAAGATGATGACTGGGAACTTTGGCTTCTTGCGCGAGCTCGACTCCTCGTTCCTCGCCGTCTGACCCGTCGGACCTTCGTCGCCCAGCATCTCTTCCGGCCAATGCTCTGCGAGCTTCGCGTTCCTCAGCGCGGGGAGTTTGGTGAACATGGAGGTGGCGGCGATGTAGGCCGTTACGGGCAGATGCGGGATGCTGAACTCCTTGGCGTAGCCCTTGCAGGTGAGGACCCGCGGACGCGGGAGCCATCCGACCCGTGAGAGCTTCGGCTTCTTGGTACCGCCGGCCTTTTCCCCATTCTTCTTGCCGTGATGATAATGCTGCTGCTGGTCATGGTGATGATCGGGGGCGGCGTGGTCGTCCGTCTGGG